TGTTCCCTTGTTCTTCTCCTCTTGGTTTCCAAACATGAATAAAGCCGTGGCTGAATATTTGCTGTTTACAACGTTGTCATGGTAAACAATTGTGTGTCGGTATGAGATTCAAATGATCGGAAATGTTTGTTTGTTTTTTTTTTTTTTAGATGGGTCATTAATTCATCATGAGCTGACATTTGCATGCCCTTAAAATACAATGTTCCAAAAAGTAAATATCAAAGTGGTCACGCAATAAAACACACGGATTTAAGAATCATTTTTAAGGTTAATGATAAATAATAACTGAATGTCGTGTCTTTGATATAACTGCAGACTGTACTGTTTGGGCCTTCTGGGCCTCATCAGTGCAGTGCTGATACTGGGATGGAGGTAAAGCCGCATAGCCACCCTAAATGATTGCACATTTGAGTGAGCAATCACGAAAAAGGCTTGTAGGGATGAAAGCGTAGTCTGCATTTTTCTGACTCACACATATTGCGCTCTACTTTCATGCACCGTGCACCGTATAAACTGAACGGAAAAATCGAAACGCAGACTTCATATATATAGATATATATATATATATATATTTAGTTCAACTCAAATCTACACACAACTTTTTTGTCTTAGAATTGAATCGCTTCAGTTGTTTCTGGAATACGATTGACTGACATCCACACTGATGGCGATTCCAGAATGGAAAACTGTGCTTCTCTTGTTTGCCGCGGTGGTGCTGATATCGGTGAGTCAGTCTCTCACAACTTTAAATATTTCATAGTTTTAACAGCTAATTGTGAAGTTTTCAGTGGAAATAGTTGTTCAGCGTTGCAATTTTATCACCTTACACCGGTAGTCGATGATGTTGTTTACTCAAAATGTCCCTAGTTACTCCAACACATTCTATCATTATAGGAATTGGTTATTAAGTTGATAAGTACTCTTGACTTAAGGAGTGGGGAGGGGGGGTCATCGCTGGATGGGGCATTGCATTTGTCCCTTGACATTTGGTTGAGTTTGATTTGAAATCTACATAACGCCCACAAGTTTTCTATGAAGGCATTGAAAACGTTATCCACGTCTTTATCTACCCTCATATGCCAACATTTTAGAATGCAAATGATCATTGTTCAGAAACTTAAACTGCTTGTAATTCCATCGCTGGTTTTATCTTCCGTGTAACTCGTATTGTAAAATACTTTACAAGCCAACTGTGAACATCCTTTGTGACGGCCAGTTGAATGAAAATTACTATTATGTTTGTTCATCCCCTCCGTTTATAGCACGAGGTAATGTGGCAGTGGTGGTGGTGGCGGCTGGACCATGTTGGAGCAACCAATGACACATGTTTACCAGGAAATTACAAGTTGATCGGCAAAGATAGTATCACTTTTAAATGTGAGCTGTGCCGTCCCTGTGGTAATGGTATGAAGCTTTCGCCGCCATGTGGCAGCACATTGACTCTTGATACCATTGTGAGATGCGCGCCTATTGCAACTCATGCCACCAAGAGGATACCAAGAAAAACCTATTTGCCAACGAAGGCAATCAAACTTACACACCTAAAACACGGTAAAGGAACTAACAATCTCCAACGCCGAAATGGAAACGTTCTCACCTGGTCTCCTTTGGAGGTGAATGATATTTATAAGACGGAGAGGCTTGATGACTCAAACGTTTCGAAAATGGATGATGTTGACTTCGAACATTTTGTTTTGCCAAAGAGTTCTAAAGCGGCTATACCACGCACAACGTCGGCTCCTCCTAGAACACATTCCCTTCCGTATACAATAAAGCGTTGGGAGAAGAAACATGACGACAAGTCATTGCTATTCAGTAGTAATGAACAACAACGCCCTAAAGGGTGGATACAGCAGTTGAAAAGGCCAAAACACTTCACAACACCATACATATCTCCTGAAGTGTTGCATGAAACATCACCTAACACCACCTGGAGATCTCAGATTATAAACATTACTTATGTGTTAGGAGGTTTTCCGTGGGCCGAAGTTGTGGCGTTTGTTGCGATTGCCCTGATTTTCGCATTGTTTGTAGTTGCGGTGTGGCTTCTGTATAGTGTCAGACACATCATTTGGAAAAAGAAATGCCGGGGCTATCAGGTATTGAGTGAGAGCGAAGAGTCAATTGAAGGTGGGCGGAAAGTTATTGCATGTACATGTACTGTAGACATGAAAGAGACCCATAACTCTTGTTTCCCTTTTATTCTTATCCACGTCTTTCTTTGGTCACAAAATTCATCTGTATGCATGAATAAATATCTTGCTTATTGGTTCTAAATTGCACACTAAATCATTTCATTTAAATATCTATGCACATAGAGCGTTAACTTTGCGTTGCATTTAATCCAACTTGTAGTTTTCTTTGTTTCTTTGTAGAAATGTCGTACTCCTCTGACAACTCTGATCACATAAACGTAAAGAATTCAACCGACCTGTCTACCTCTCCTGTTGATCTTAAAGGTAAGTGGCTGCATCCAAATTTAAAAAAAATTTTATTACCGTAACGACTTGATTTATAGTACCTCAACAAATGCTTGAGGAAGGGCGCTTATTTGAAACAGGGAGATTCTCTTCGGTTATTGAGAAAGAGCAGCATATGCGCCAAAAAAAGAGAGGTTTGATGTTTTTCCAAAGAGGATCAGGAAGACTGGAAAACGGACTTGCTGTCCCTGGTTCTTCCTAGCCAGATCGACCAGCTAATTGCCGCAAAATTTGAAGAAAAGGTCATCCGTTCGAAGGAAATATGCACTCAGGTATACAAACGAACATAACAGAAAGACTGAAAGGAAGACCATTCATTTTGCAATAAGGCTCTGTAAGGAAAATGAACCTGACGGTTGATCTCGATGTACGTGTACTCTAAAAGTAGTACCACTTAAACAGAATAGGGACGGTTATCGGAATAAGAGCGCTAATTGGAATAGAGACGCTCATTGGTATAAGAGGCGCTTATTAAAAAAAAACACAAAACAAATTCGAAGGGGCGCTCACTGGAACGAGGGCGCTACATCGAGTAACTGTGATACATCATTTGTTGAAATTCCCGAGGACACATATCGGGGCTATTCATCAAATCTTGGCCGGAACCAATACCCACTTGTAGTCGACTTCAAAAGATTTCAGGCTGCTGAGGAAATCGGAGTTATAATTGTGGCAACCTTCTTTAAGTACAAGTTTTCAATCTTTTAGGCCTCATATTGTCCGAGCTACCTCCAGATGTTGAGGATATACTTGTAGAAAGATTGGACGTGCGACGCAATGGTGAACGTTTCTATGGTTGGCAAGAAGTAGGTGCTGCATTTAAGATCTGCAGAAATGAACTACGTCACCTAAAGATAGAATACAAAAGAGAAAACGGTAGTCCAACCAGCAAGCTGTTATTGAAACTTGGAACTTGTAAATGTGCGACAGTATCCGACCTCGTCAACGTATTGAATGGTCGTAGAGTAAACCGCCCCGATATCGCCTCTCTAGTCATTCAATCCATTCAAGCAATCAGTAATTCCCCGCATGAATAGTACCGAATTTTTTTTTACTTTTTACGGGGAAAATCTTTGACCTATTGACCCACCTTCCTTTTGTTGTCCCGGAAACAGTTTTGAGGTGTTCCATATGTTGACGCTCAGTAACAGTTCGCCACATTTCAAAATCATCTAAATGTTAAATTTAGGAAAACTGTATTATAGTGTGAATAATTTCGTTGCAATGTAAATAAAAGTTAGTTTAGAATATTGTGGGAACCATTTGATCCACCTGCTACCGTAAAAACTCGCGTTCATGCAGGATATGATGCAAAGCTTAAATATGGTTAATTCAGGTACAATTCTTTGATGGATAGACAGTACATCCCATTTTACCGGTGTCCCCTTGAAATGTTTAAATACTTCTGAATATGTTATTTTCATTTGATTGATAAATTAAAATATCATAGCTACACCACAGCATCTTAAAAACACCTTTAATTTCAGTTTCATGTGCCTGTAACTAAAAAAGCAAGTTTGGTGACTTAAAATGTTTATCATCAGTCGAATAGAATCAGCAGATCGATATTTACCTTTCTGCCAAGTTGTACGCTGATCGGAATAAAATGATAAAATCAAAGGTTCCTAGCATAAGACTACCTCTTGGTATGTCTTTATTCTGAGAATTTTAACAAATTGATCAGATCAGAGAATTGAGTGAGTGAGAAGTGGGCGAGTGGGTGAGCAAGTGAGTGAATTTTCTTTCCATACCATAGAGGTCAAAAAACACGTCAAAAAAGTTTTAGTTTTTAGTTGTGACCTCGGAGGGAATATTTTTTAATATTTCTACGACGGAAACTCTTTAAGATCAAGAAGCTCGCGAAATATGGACTCACATTACCACCTTCCACTAATCTGATACCAACGTTCTCACTTTGAGTTAGCAACCATTCGCCTGTTCTAAAAAGCAGACAAATTAAGTCATTCTATTCATTCTATTCATTCTATTAATTCGAATTCAATATAAACTTGCACAAGAATTTGCAATGTTGGATACTGTCTACCTGCATTTTATATGGCGGAGCACTTCCGCTAAAAGAAACCTGGGCCAGTTAAGATTTTATGAGAGATTCCGTCACCAAGTTATTTTCACATACAAAACCTTTTTGATTGGAGTAAGATTTGCTATATTGATGATTTTTCATTCATAAACTTCTTCTTTAGTCTTTTGCTTCCTCATTAGAGAGATTTAGCACCGCGTTTACGTGAAACGTGAACGGCGACAGTGACCACGTGACCTTGTTTTCCCGCCATTTTTTCACGTTTGCCGGTTGCACTTAGCCGTTTCTACGTGAAATTAACCTGTTCCGCGCTTACCGTGTCCATAAGATCTTCTTCACTTTTACCCTCACAGACTAGAAGTTAAACACCAGAAAAAGGGCACCACAACCATTCCTTGTAAGTCATACAAAGGCGCCTTCGAATCAACCATGACGTGAGCTCACGCGAAACCAAAGCAGCCAGGCTCACGCTATTTTACGTAAAACGTGAAAGGGCAAGCTGACGTTTGCAGTTTCACGTAAACGCAGCGCTAAATCTCTCTATTATCCTGGGTTCTCTTTGGTTCTCACCCGATCTCGTTGCACAATGGAGGTGCACCAGCTCGACTAAGCGAAAAGGGAAGGCACCAGGAGTCTGATCAAGAACATTTATTTAGTCTCTGCTTAATGACGCTTGATGGCTCTTCATCTGAATGACTGAGTATCCACTGTGTCTGATTCAGCCCTCAGTAAGTACACACTCTTAAACATCCTATCAGTAGGAATGTTTTGGCTCACGGGACAACTGACCGTGGCAGATTAAACATTATTTTTTGAATGTTAACCAAAACAATCTCACGAGACATTCGAAAACAAAGTACTTGAAGAACAAATCTACGAGATATGAAGCCTTAACAAAACTTCCTGCTGAGGATTCTGACGAAGGTCAAGGTTAAAACCGAACACGAATTGCGACGATTACCATTCAGAATTAAGTCCTATTACAACGGTAAAATAAATTGCAGGCCGGATACTATCCTTTTAAGCAATCAAGGTCAATTTCCCTTTGGCACCTTTTCCTGGCGCAATATCCCTGCGAACTTCAGCAACTTGGATCAACTGAAATTTATGTTCAAACCGTGCCCTAAACCTGCTCCCATTGCAGATGTATCTCTTCCTGTACAACCTACAAACATGTTAGACACAAACATGTTTCTCTTATATTTTTTGAGGTAGAATGTAATGTTCATGCACTTCGATGCAGCGTTGAAATTAGGTTAGAGCGACCTTCTTTGCAAATTAAGAATGGGTTGAGGTTAATTTGCGTAGATTCTTCGTCGAAGGAAGAGCGAAAGATGCCGACAGATCGAAAAAAAATTCTGGTGCGTCAAGTCAAGCGCGTGACTGCTGATGGAATTAGGGATTAAGCATTCCCACCCGCCTGGATGCGTCAGGAAGACAGCCAATTTGACATATGAAGAAATGAATTCAATCTTCACAGTCTTCTTGTTTTCGAAATGTTTCTTGTTTTTAAGTCTTTTCCACGTTATTTACGATGTAATGATCGCGTTTGAAGTTCAAACGAAAAGTATCCAAGGGCTTTACACCAACCCCCATGGGTTGACCAATGACGACTCGGTACAACTTCTGAGAACTGGCAGCAAATTTGCCTAATTCATCACGCGAGTAATCACGACCAGTATTATGGTCGGTAAGTGTAAATCTACTTGTGGATTTCCTAGCAACACACTGATTGGTATCAGTTTATTTACTCTGAGGAGGGGACTTCTAAGCGAGAAACAAATTTATCAACGCTCGAGGTATCGAAGGAGAGACGCTTCTTATAGTTGTGTTCACCGTTCGCAGAAAGAACAATTCAACCGAAAGGATTTCTGTATCAAGCAAACCAAAGAATACACATTCTTTCCCCCTAAGACCTCGACGGTAAGGATGTAGTCAATTCTCAAAACTAGGTTCTGAAAGTTGCATTGTTTTTAAGGCCGATCTTCTGCGGCTTTCAAGAACGATGGAGATAAATGCAATCGTAAACTAATCCAATACTTGTCTAATGAGTTCAATATCGCTATCGAATGATCTTGGAGGTTGAAAATTGATTTCTTGTCCAGCAGTTTCAAAGATTAAAACATAAAATTACCAGTTTGATTCAGAAATTATCTGGATTGTTTTTCTTCTGCAATAGTATAATTCAGTGCCGTGGCGGTGTTACTATGCTAGAGTCGCGTGAGACCTTTCATGACTTGTATCAATTGCCATCGCATTCTCAAACGGAAGGCTTACAAAGCGAAGAACATTTTTGAGCGCACATGATTTTATGCGTCGTATACTTTGTTAATAACTAAATTATTCTATTATGCTACGCAGTCAATTTCTAGGCCTATTTGTACCTGCGAGAAATGATAAGCGCGTTCGTTGTCAAAGAAGAAAACAGTGATTCGTCTCTTCCTAGCGTTCCGACTAGAAACAACATGGTCGTTATCTGTTAGGAGTTATCTCGAGTTATCGTGCTCATAACGAAACCTCAGCTAAAGGCACACCAGGTCTCAAATGGATACTAGCAAGGGCTCCGAGATAAACAGTTCAAAGAGATGTGGTCACCACCACACGGCAAAGTAATTTTTAAGGTTTATTAGATAATCAAACACAACTTCCTATTATTGCTTCCGGTTTATAATTTTATTTGCAGACAGTACATGTCTGCAAAGTAGTCACAAGGGACAACAGCTACCGCTTGAATTAGCCGTACCCATTGAATGACAAATAAAAGTAAAGATAATCAAAAAATCTTATGCCAGATTTATAATGGTAGTTGAACTGAGTAGAGCGGAATTTGGGCTGAAATGATCTACGCGTGATTTCAAAATCAAACGAGCGCGCAGTGCAAGTCTGATTTAAAATTACAATCTGTCAAGTTAAAGCATAAGCAGCCCAAGCGTACTGTGTGTGATGGAATACCTAACATGTTGAGATCGAATTTTAAGCGTAAGCGTGAGCCGTTAAAAAAAGGAAAAATTATTATTACCTTTTTTCCGTAGCCGCTTTGTCGTTTACGGTCCTAACGCTGTTTTGGCGACTTTCTTTGTAACGCTTGCGGTGTCACCAGTCAACTATAGACAGTTGACTGGGTAGCATACACCACACGCGTTACAAAGAAAGTTACCAAAACAGCTTTAAAAGGACCGTAAACGACAGAGCGGCTACGGAAAAAAGGCAAGGAGACTTCATACGTTATATTCCTCGCTCTTATTATCCTTTTTAATTTTTTCTTAATTTTTTTCATAAGTTTTCCTTTTCTTAACCGCCTACGCTTACACTTAAAATTCGATCTTAATATGTTAGGTATTCCTGTTAATGACCTTTAGACCCCAAAATCACACACAGTACGCTTGGGCCGCCTGTGATTAAAGCTATAATAAGATGGCCTAATCTCTTGTAAATGACTTGACTTCTTACTCCTTTTCTCTTTAGATTCTTTTTCCTTATAAATGACTATTGTCAGAATCCCTAATTGACAGAATTTTTTAAACCATACGAACTACATTACTTGCAATGCATACATGTGTCCTCGATTAGTAATTTACTTGCGGTTAGCTAGAAGACTTCAACACTTAAAGTTGTTGACTGATTGAAATGCACTTATTAAACCAACCTCTGCACATGGCGCCTGTGCAATACAAATTTATTATTATTACCATCATAACATTGTTATTCAGGTAGGAACCCTTCCGTACCACCGTCATGCCGGAAGGGAACGTGATCCAATCATGGCAGAAAATGGTAGAATCAGAAGTTATTATCAAAGTGCTAGTTATTTTTGGGTTTGTCTTCTTGTTGTGGGTAAGTCAGTCATCTCAATGTAAACTATTATGAACGTGATATGTTAATCTATGTACACTAATGTAATTAATGTATTCCACAAAAATAAGGCTTTGTCAGCTACTTGCTTCAATTTCAATTCAAAACTAGATTAAGTGAATGATATAGGCGTCAGAATAAGGTTTCGTTCGCTCTATTGAACACTACCTATATCTATCTACTACTTATTAATCACTTAATATACTGGCTTAACTAGGTGATGTGAGAGATGTCTGTTCAGGTCCTAATTAATGTTGAAGGAAGTCACATCTTGCTCCATCTTGCTCTGACCAATTTTTTTTAAATAGCGAACGCGTGATTTGTTGCTTTGTCCTAAAGAAAATAAATGGAAATGCCGTTCCCGTGTTGATGTTAGTTCGCAAAGGTCACTCTGCCAACAGCGAACAATGGTTAAATGAAATTACGGCAACAGAGCTGAATATCCTAGGGTATTTGTGACACTTTTTCTTTGATTTTTGATTGCCCAGCAATGGAATTTTTTGGAAGATTTGCAAGACAGCAATGAATTTTACCCAGATGGTCTTGATAAATGTCCCCCAGACACTTACACTATTCAAGAAGATAACAGCAGAAGGGTCAAATGTTTCGCTTGCCCTGTATGTCCTCTTGGAGAGGAACCTTCAGCACCATGTGGTATCGCAGTGGATACAAAACCTGCTAGTGAATGCATACCTTGCAAACCAGGAACATATTCAGACAAGGTCGACAGTAGGTCCTGCAAGATATGCAGTGTTTGTGAATTCAGAAACGCCATAAGTTCTTGCACATTAGCGAAAAACACAGAATGCCAGGACTGTCCAAAGAGATACTACGAAGATGAAAAAACACATAGATGCAAACCTTGCTATGTTTGTTGTCCAAAAAGTTATACGGTCCTGAAAGAATGCTTGATATCAAAAAAATGCAAAGAGGGTTGCGCACGGTCGACAAATGTAAGAAAATATTTCAAGAAAAAGATTGCAAGATCTGCGAATGCTACTTACAACGAAGCTCTTATGAAACAGCACACCAAGTCACTGAAGCAAAGTAATCTTAGCAAATTTGACCACTTGAACTCCAGCGATAAAAATGTTTCATTAACCATAGTAAAACGAAACTTGAAGGCCGAAGTTGAATTAAAAAGGGACCAGTCTTCGCATAACACGGTCAGCCAAACGGGAAACAATTCCGAATGGGATATCGATGAACTAGAAAAATTATATTTTCTTGAGGTTCCTGACATTACGAAATTAGAGAAGGAGGAGGGTGACCAAGAAATTACGGACCAAGATAAAAATTCAAACCATCCTTCAACTCGGAAAAAAAAATTAAACGGGGCCAAAATTCGTGCGGTTAAAGTAGAGGAGCGGGTTTCTTCCCAAACGTCACTTGGAAAAAATTACATCACTCTTCAACCAACTGCGGCTGCACCGAAAAAAGTAACAGATTTGGGACAAGTGACACCACACAATGACGCTGCACCAAATGAATTCCTGATCTCGGCCCTTGGCAGCTTTACCGGAACGATATTTGCCGCCGTTTTTCTAATACTTATGGGACTACTTATATTTTCCCAATACAAAAAGCATGTTTGCAAGATGTTACATGACCGTAAGAAGTTAAAAAGAACGACATCAGACTCCTCAGACACTCAAAGTACAGGTAAGAAAAATAATAGGTCAAAACATAAAACAAAATTTACAACAACTTCACGTGCACGTTCGCCAATGTAATTTATTGAATAACTTGCACTTATTGCAAAAAGATTTACATCGCCGAAACTGGCAGAAGACTAGGTGACCGATTCCGAGAACACCTTCGCGACGTGGAGAGAAATGACAAGGACACATCGAAACCAGTCGCTAGACATTTTAATTTACCCAATCATTCTAAGCAGCATATGGCAATCTGCCGTCTTTCGTCACACTTAGGTAGCACGGAAAGCCGCAAAACTCTTGAACAAAGGCTCATCTTTCAAACCGGCAGTCTAAATCCCACCGTGAGGTATCAACGAACGCTTTTCATTCCACTAATTTATTCGTGTTTTTCTCGTTGCCATGTTCCCACCAATCATGTAGCTCCATTTTCTGCCTTTTTTTAAATTATTTCGCTACCCCCACCGACGCAGCGCCAAACAGTTTCTTTAAAAACTATCAGCCTTCTTACAACAACTTAGTCGGTTACGCGATCTACGACAAATTGAGAAAACTGTAAGTATGCCACCTGTTGTCATATCGATCATCGTGAGTTATCTCTTAAATGCTTGTTCAAAGTAAGGTGTCCTCGTAATTTTTATCTCGAAAAATCTGATTATATTTCCACGATTATTACTTAGGTGAAACCTCGGACAGTGCAGAAGGAGAAACCACCAAGCTGACTTACGAGGAAGCAAGCACCGTCACAGTGTCACAGGGTAAGGAAAGCATACATCGGGGTAAGGAACTACTCAGGGAGGGAGCAGGGAAGAAACCGTATGAAACTTATAATAAAACCTCCTCCTTCACCCATCTCAAGGCATAGCACTTGTTTGGGTTGTTTCAAAATAAGACATATATATTCACACCTAGCGCAGTAACATACCTTACCCATTGCAATGATAATATAGTCATCTTGACCTTAAAAACAAGAAGTTGGGATTCCGATGAGAACAAACTGAATCATATGGGTACAAAGAACAAATCTGATGCTTTCAGCACTATCGATATAGAGAATGAGTAGGTACGGTTTTTTACTGGGTACTTTTTCGCGTTAATACACAGGTCTATGTTAATGTTGTTTCTTTTAAAGTTCCTCTCTTGACCACTGACAAACTTCTTCTACCCGTATTGCATTCAAATGTAGAGTATTAATCCAATGAACTGACAACTTCTAGGTCTACGTTTGTCTGAGCTGCCTCCAGACCTTGAAAACCTACTTGCACAGAGGCTTGACGTCCGTCGCAAGGGCCAATACGGTTGGCAGAAAATTGGCGCTGCATTTAAGATAAGTAAACACGTGCTACAGCAGTTGAAGAATGAATACAAAAAGGATAACGGAAGCCCTACATGCGCACTCATGTCAATACTTGGAGCCTCAAAATGCACCAAACTCTCTGATCTCCTGAAAGTACTGAACAGTCGTAATGTCAATCGTCCTGATGTCGCACGCAAGGTCAAACGGTATATCAGAAAAGCCAATAAATCTCAGTAAAATCATGTTTGTCTTGCGTTTGATACGTTAAATTTGAGTAATGACCTTTCTCAGTTGTCGTTAGCTATTAGTTTCATTTTCTCGTAAAAGAAGCTGGTCTATATGCAGAACTTCTCGAGAAAAGGAAAACATAACTTCCTAACGAAAACTGTGATATACATAAGCACAATAAGATATTTATTCGAAAAGAAAAGTTTTTATAATATCGTAAGTGTCCTTCTGGTTAAAAATTTGTCGGCAGTGAATGTGAATTTCTACATACGATTAAAGCTTTCCGAAGGAAACGATGTTTGAAAGACAACTGTAAGAAAAGAAGAAAGTGAATGCCCTGGAGCTTTTACTCGAGGCAAGCTAGATTACATATGGCCTTCTACAACTATTTTCAAAACTATAAAAGCATTCTGAACAAGAATGTAATAGTGAGAAGATTCATACTTGAACATGTATTTTCTCCGATGATATTTTCTATATTAATTTTGCTTATGGTAATGAACTGCGAATAGTCCTTATAACATATAGTTGTCAATTAAGAAGAGTTTGTAAACGTATATACACAAAAAATTTAAGAATGCAAGTTTTAAAAATATGTTTTTTAATGATGTTGGTTTAACAAAGGAGCACAGCCTTATCATTTTTACCCAAGAATAAAGTTAAAATAACGGCTGAAACTGAATTTACGCAAGGTAACTTAACAAAATAAATACTATCAGTTTTTACATGTGTTCCTTCTGCATAAGCCTAGTTTCTATAAATTGCAACAACAAACTTGCCTGGCATAAATTTTCATTATCAATATGCGATTATTTCATCATAAAAAATAATAAAAACATTTTTTTTATGAACATTACCGGGAAAGATATCCATACGTACATGGAAAAATTATGCTCGAGGTCTTGCGCTCACAGAGACTATTGTACAACAACGATTAGGCAAACAAATTATCACAGCGTTAAAAAGAGTGTTTCAATTAGGTCAGAGCGACCTTCCTTGCCATTTAAGAATGGTTTGAGACTAATTTGTGTATATTAATCGTCGAAAGAGGAGCGAAAGATAACAACAGATCGAAAAAAATCCCGCCCAATTGACTAGTTATTATAATCATAATAAGAACAAATATTTGATAGGATATAAATCCAGCAGATTATAACAATGAATAAAGGGTCAAAGTTTCTAAAGAAACTGTGGTGCTGCGTCGGTGGGGGTAACAAGGTAATTTGGTTATATAAACTAAGTTGAAATTGTAAATTGACCACCATAAAGAGTTAAAAAGCTGACGTTTCGAGCGTTAATTAGTCCTCCGTCAGAGCGAATGACGACATTCGCTCTGACGAGGGGCGAGGTCTTTCACAGAGAAGGAGTGTTGGGACCAACTGTTGGAAGGTAAGAAAGAAGCTTCTGGCAGGGAAAGTCATGATACAGAAAGCGACGTTCAATCTCTCATTGCCATCATATGAAAGAAAGAATGTCCTCGCTCACTAGAGTTCTTGCCAGACGCAATGGATGCTTCCCTCCAGGGCATTCTCGTGGACTGTTTCAAGTATGGAACAGAAATGAGGCCTCGTGCTATTGACCTTGTAAATGCATTTTCGTAAAGGCTCAGACAAACCTCAAGTCAGTGTTAAAAATGTTTGCATGGCCAGAAATCGAGGACGTCATGGCGGCGAAGCATGAGCGCTAGTAATAATTTAGGTACTTTTTCGAAAATGGCTTCTTGGTAAAGGTTTTGTATGATAGAATTGTGAAATTCCTCCCCAGTGAGGTTACGAAGGTACAAGGTCAAGTTCCGCACATCGGACAACATGAGAAAATACTCCAAAGATTACTCACGTCAATTATAAAACTACAGCGATGTGCCAAAGTTCTGCCCGAGCCACACGTTTTATGGACACTTTGTAGCGGCTTTAGCGTCTCTACTTTGCGCTTGAATACCCTTTTCCATTCCGTTTAAGTCCATCGTGGCTCTTCGTTTAACTACTTGGTCTGTACATCGTATCGTCTTCTGCGAAGATTAATGATTAATGATCGAGGGCCGTTTTAAGGCAAACAAAGTATCCTTCGTTCTGTCAAACAGATTTTAAGATGTCGATAATCCTGATTACAAAGAATTGTGGAAAATCCGATGTCGACTCGTCAAATTGTTACTTAAACCGGCTGAAACCTTCGCTACCCCGTGAAAACAATCCGTTGTTATCACTAGCTTTGTAACCTAGCTATTTAAGAGTAATACAGCAGTTTTACGGGCCCTGAAGGCTTCAAAACCGTGCAAAATGTACAAATATGAAAATTGACTGCTATGCAAATTAACTTACCCCTCGTTTGTCCCTGTCCTGAAGATTCTTTGCTTTCTTTTCTTAATAATAAAGTGGGCGGTGCTTAAATTGTTTACCTCACGATAAAAGACAATTTTAGCCGCTTTTCGTGCAACCTCATTTGTTAAATAAATTCCGCGAATATAAGCCCAAGATAAAGTCTGTTGACTGTCTTCAATATCTAGTCATGTAGTAGTTTAACCGTGGCATTTTCTTCAACGCCAAATTAATGCATTTTGACGTTAAAGAACCAAAATGTGTGATCTGTTGATACCCTGTCAGAAAACTCTTTTGTTTAAGTTTCCCTGTGCCGTTACAGGAGGAGGGTATTGTTAATTTTTCAATATTTCAATGTTAATTTTTCTGTCGATTTCTGTTAAAGGACACAACTAGGGCTAATATGCTTATTTCATCGACACACATAAGCTACTTGAAATGGCGAAGTAAAGAAGATGTTCACTTATCTGGTTTAAAAATGCCGCCATGTTGAACTTCTTTTCTCGGAAGTTCCCCACACTCCCCCTTCTCCTCGTTTTGCCTGCCTTAAAGAAGGTATAGTTGAACAACATGTTTTGACGAGGGTGGAATGTACGCAATTGTAAGCTTCAACTACAACTACTCAAGCCCAGTAAGAGAATTAAGACAGGGTGTAGAACAGCCTTATTGAATGATCCTTCGTCTGCAATCTTAACTAGCCCTACAAAGGTCAAAATAAGTAAAAATCAAAATAGTTTTTAGTTCAGGTTCTGCTTAGGTATTGTATTATCTACAAACCAGCTTGTAATAAAAGCCATAAATCTCGTTACAATACTAAGATATGATTGAAAACTGGGAAAAAAGACTCAGAATCACAGAAGATGAACTTTTGTTGATTTGTGTTTCAGTCACTTGGGAGTAGAGATGCAGGATGGTTGCAGTTTACATGGAAATATCAGAAGTTCTAGTCGGAAAACAAACTAGGCGGTTGTCATTCTATAATTTTCATAGATTGAAGGAACTCCTTGGCAGTTAACATTTTTGATGCTATCGTTGATATTTAAAGTTATCATATGCATAGACTAACTGACCATTCAACATTTGCATCGGTGTCAGCAACATCAACTTTATGCACTTTTACAGTGGCAAGCTTTCATTAATTTGAGTTACGACAAGTTATTCTTAACGTTATCCTAACGAAAAAGCACTTGAAATAACTTGGTTGCGGGGCATAAAAATGTCACATGCAGATAACATGATATTAATAATAAAACTGTTTCTTCATCTTTACTCGTTCTTTGCTTTCCCACACGACTCAACACTCAAGACGAGGGTAGAAAGCTGATAAAATGCGGTGAAAGAAAACCACAACGGTCAGATTAAGTGATCCACTTTGGGAAATTGGATAATCTCAAAGTACATTTTAAGAGCCTCGCGTTCATTTAAGGGTGGAGAATAATCTGGTTCGATCAATCTCACAAACTCTTCTAAATCCTCGTTATGGTCGACACAACACTCAGCATACATGTCTTTGCACAGATTTACATCCCCGACGTTGACATTCACCAACTGGTTGTGTGTTCCAAAGATTTCGGGTGTAAAAAACAACTCTGTCACGAGATATAATTCCTAGCGAAGGATAAGCAAGAAAAAAAATCTGAGACATTCCGCAATGAGGTAATCGTCATGGTATAAAGCACAATCACGGAGGTCTTGAAAAAAGTTTATCCACCATCCCCCTCCACCCTCTCGAAATTTAGACTACCAAGCTTCTATGTGTTGATTTGCGGTGCTTTTTCCTTCGATGAAACTTCCACTTCTTGCAAAATGGTCATCGTCATACCTTGAAGAGTGCCAATGATTGTGTTTTCGTTTCCCCTGTCACAGTGCATTCTTCTTGGAACCCGTCCAAGTTGTGAACCGCATTTAGGCAGTTTGAGGCAATAACCCTGGGATTCTTGTTTGTGGAATCGACTTCTAACCAGAGAATTCGCCTTGAGAAGCCGTCGATATAAGCCAAAGGGGGTAAGTTTATCCCATCCGTCAACGTGCCATAAAAAGTTTGGCTCTGGTGTGACGTATCTTCGTCTCTTTAGCCTACGGCTTTAACGACGCTCCACTCCTTAAGGGACTATAAACCAAGGGATTTCATAACAGTATCCCTATTTACTTCCTTATTGTACTTTCGCCTCAAGCGCCTCGTCAGTTGACGACAGCTCATAAAGGAACCACACGAGTTCTCCAATTCTTCCAGAATAGTAACCACTATTCGCTCAAAGGGTGATTCGTTATTGCATCTCGCCCTTTTAAGTCCCAAACGTTCTAAAATTTGTTTTCAAGTACGCACTGAGAGTACTATACTGATCCTATGTTGTAAAGCTAAAAAAAAACAGTAATTCACTTTCAGTGTTGATAAATCCTTGAGAGAAGTAGCTTCAAACTTCATTTTCCCTCTCAACGCGTTTTTAGAAGGATGATAAGAAAAAGCAACCTGTTTCAGAACATAGTAAACTCACATCTTAAAAAGAATGATTAAAACAAGTCAGGATCAGGGACCCTTCACTCACCGAAACACAATGACGCACATTGACGGATTTAAAAATTTCTTTCACCTTCGGAAGACCGAGGACAGATTTCTAAAGTCTGAGGTATGATTTCGTGAAGTATGAAGGCTGAAGTCTTTAACTCTTTAACAAGATAATTAGATTCTTACGATTAGTCCTGATAAGGCGGCCGGTATAGACAAAATCATCGCTCGTCTTCAGCGTTTAGCGGCCTCTGCTGTTGCACCAAGTATTGCGAAACTGATCAACCTTTCTTTTTGTACGGGCACTTTCCCCTTGCGCTGGAAAACTGCAAAGGTGACACCTATATGTATAAGAATGACGCTGAATGTGATCCGCTGAACTATCTTCCCATTTTAGTGTTACCGGTTTTGTCGAAATTATTGAGCGCCACATGCATGATACGTTATACACTTTTCTCTGCGATAATAACTTGATTTTTTCAAGGCAGTCCGGTTTTCGCAAAAACTCCCACAGTACTGAAACTGCCCTCATCAAGATAATCGACGACCTCCTATTTAATTTGGACAAGGACAGGGTCTCTGGAGTGGTGTTTATTGACTATTGCAAGGCACTTAATATGGCTGATCATGAGCTATTGCTGAAGAAACTGGAGGCATATGGTATCGTCATACGGAGCTTAAATGGTGTCGGTCTAAATTGACTGGAAAGAAGCAAGTGGTTCACCTGGGTGGAAAGGAGTAAAGTGAGGCGCAGATGGAACATGGAGTTCCTCAGAGCAGTATTTTAGGCCTACATACTATTCATGAACGATCTACCACTCCATGCAGCTCACACGGTAGACCTCTATGCTGATGATACCAGCCTTACAGCATCTGCTCACTTAGATAATTTACCTGAACTTAA